GTAGCAACATGAGTGATTAATATCTTTTATTTCCTTTCTCTCTTTGCGCGTGTGTGTGTACATTGCATGAGTTGTTTCGAGTTTGTTAGTTTGCAGAAACTAAGCGATACGCGAAATTTGATCGGATTGAAATGGCGGGAATCGACAGCCGATCTTTTATTCAAATTTGCTGGAGTTCGATTCACGGGTAATCGATGGCTGCTTTTCCCCGGCGAAATTGCCATTTGAATTGCACCGATTCGGCGGACAATTTTTTAAGCAAACGCTATTTATACTCTGTTTTATCGTAATTTTAGAGAGAGGTCGAGTATCATACATTTTTTTTTCTGTTGTTTCTTCTTCTTCTTTTTTTTAATAGAATAATTTTCATTCCATTTTTTAGGAATTAAATCGTTTGCCAAGCCTTGCGTCCTTTCTCTACTGTGCTCGTTTCGAGGATATTTTAACGATATGTAACTATAGAACAATTGAACACAATTAACTCTCTCTGTAATCTGAAATATTATTGAAACAATACAGATATTTCTCGTGAAAATTGTATAATGTTTATACAGGATCGTATAAAATATCGTGAAGTATTTTATTTAATTTTTAAGGAATGACTACTATAGCACAATTATTGTTCTACTGTATAGAAGAAATTTCAGTTAATGAATTAGGGAAAACAAAAAAAAAAAAAAATAGATTACAGAGGATAATTCTATAGATTAGTAGGGTAATTCTGATAGAGATAGACTTGATCAATAGTTCTCAAATTTTCACGGAAATGAACATTTTTAATCTTTAAATAATTTTTTGTCTATTTATAAAAATTACATATTCGTGTAATTATATATAATGAATCAGTTTAATAAAAACGAAATATAACTTATCGAAATGATTCATTATGATAGAACGGAGAAAGTTAAACGATACTCCAAAATTTTATTTATCTATTTGTAAAGATGCTATACTATGGATCTGTTTATGCAAATTTCCAAGAACACAATTAAATTTATTTTAAATATTCTGTATATTTTTATGTATTGTGTTCGCAGTCTGTGTAGATTAGTATGCAGATTAGAGTGAATATGATGTTCAGTATTTTTTAAATATTTAAATTCGATGGTCCATCTCATTTGCAAATTGCCCTACAGTAAAAAATGTAGAATAACTATAATTCACGTACTTAAATACGTATTTAACGAGCATGACTCAGTGTAATTAGGATCTTTACATCAAAATGTAAAATCATATATATACTCAGCCAGTAGTACAAGCCACGATATAAGAAAATTATAATAATCATAGTGTCAGAAAATTGACAGAAGTGTAATTATATAAAAATCTGAAACCTCGCCCAAGAAATGTTTAATACATAGTCATTCAATTTGATGAAATAATAACTATTATATTCCTAGTTTTTCTATTTACATGCATGAAATACTATTGATTATTTTTTTTTTTATTATATGAAATTCTAAAATAAAATACTTTTCGAAGTTTCGTGAAATATTGTGGATTTTATATCCTACGAAAAACTGTGAAAAACTTTTAAAAATTACCATTTACTATATTTTACTTCTACGCTTCTTTAAAAAGCTATGAAAATCTTCTAGAAAGTAACATTCACTATATTTTAGAATTCCACAAAAGAGAAAATGGTTGATAGTTTATTTTACATACAAGTAGAAACGTCGTAAAAATATTAATTATTCTTTCATACGCGACTCGATGGTTAAAACTCTAAAATATTAAATCTTCATACGTTTCAAATCACCTTGATAAGTATTGGCAAATTTTTTGTCGCAAAACCAATAACATCTTATCTGCGTATAATTTCTCTATGCCAAAAACGTTTTCATTTCCGAGAATATTGCAGACAAAGGAACGATTTGCAATTTGACTATATCGTGGCTTGTATTACACACCGTGTGCATAGTTGAAACGCACTACGCATCCTACGTAATTATTCGATCAGCTATATTCTCAAAGTGCCATTAAAATCGCGCTGAACGCTCAGGTTCCCATTGTATTTTTTAATCGAATAACCGATCGAAGAGTAATTTCGCACTAAAAGTGTCCTTTTTACTGAATATCCCTAACTCGTTAAGTTAAGAATAACTACCGTAGACTGTAAGAATCTTGCGTTATAGATACCAGAACGTAACATCTCTTTTAACACAATATGTTTCAAACACGTGGCAAAATTATTGTCACCAGTTTCATGTGTTGAGTTATATGTTTAGACGTTATACATACACAAAGAGGATGAATATTGAATAGTTAAGTATCACATCTTTTGGATTGTTTTAATAAATAACCATATGTACACGTATTCTTGAGATTTTAATAAAATAAAATGTACATCAACAGCACTGTCGCGTGAATGGTTTGTTTCTTTCTTTGTTATGGGATTTCAAGTCATCACGATAATGTCTGCGCTAATATTCAGTATTTAGTAGATTTAGTATTAATATCGTTACTTGATTTTGCAACTCATTTTTATACATTTTTTGCGGGATTTGAAAATTTGAATTACTTAATAGATCAATTATGTGCCAGAGATGTAATTAATATTAGATTGACATCGAGTAAGCATGATAATATAATAATTACAATGAAAAATATATGTGAATGAAATTTCGACTGAAGAGAAATTTTTGTATGATAATTAGTATGACTCGAATGGTATAATCTAATTTTAGTTTTGATTCTGTCTTAAGACTTGTGAATGAAAGGATACTTATATAAAATTCAGATAGTGTGTTTTATTTAAGCATTGAACTATGAAACATCTCTCAGAAATCAAACAGTCGCATAATCCTAAAACTACCTACCTATGTACCAACATAATACAGACAAAATTGAATTAAAATTTTTTTACATCTATAATACAAAAAATATGTATATATGTAAAAATAAAATATTTAATTCTACTTCTAGAAAAGCTTAAAAGTAAGTGAAAGTTAACATAAATT